GTGTTTCTTTCCTCATAAAACATTTGTAAAGCACATGTTTTGAGGATTTAAAATTCTGCATTACTTATTTGACTTTGTTGGCACTAGTGATAAGAAGAATGGTTCCTTTAAGTAACCTGGTTCTTATCGTTCACCCACCACTAGCAAACCAACTCATGAATGACTATTTTGGTTCACCTAACCCCCGCTGTGAGTTCACGACATTCCACAAGCTGTTTTGCTTTTCAGTAGTATTAACACATGTCACAATCAATCAGTATGTTTATTCACATATCAAGGAAAACGTGTGAAGTTGAACTCACGAGAGACATGTGAAATGGGGTCACCCCAGAGAAGCTAATTAAAGCTTATCCACCTTATTTTCAAACACGGAAATAAATAGTGATCAACTTCCGTTTTTTTGTGCGTGACTTCCGGTCAGCTGCTTTCCCTCATGCTTTCCCTTACCGGAGCTAACGGTGCAAGCTAATTTTTTTTCAATTTTCAGTTGTTTATGTTAGTCAATCAGTTAGTTAGTTAGTTAGTTAGTTAGTCTGTGTATTTTGTATAACGTTAGATAACTGTGCCCACGTTTCCGTTATAACGGAAATTTATTCCCTCTAAACGCGAATAAATCGCACGTCAATCATAAACTATGAACCAAAAAAGCACAATCTATCCCGAGTGAGACAAACTGCTTGATCCCCGTCTCCAGTGTACCAGCAGAGAACCTGCAGAACCGAATCAGCGAAAAAACACACCGGGCTACACAGCCTCTCTACCTGAGCAGCTGAAGCTGCGGCTCGCACCCTCGACACACAGACACACAGACGGTGCTTCTGCATGCCAGCCACACGTGTGCGCAACTGTGAGAAATAAATATGTGAGGTGTACGCTGCTTTTCTATCTTTTTTTCCCTTTTCTTTCTTTCTTTCTGTCAGCGACATACACTCCTAACACAGGACGGGTTGTTTTAATTGACTGAGTTGATCATTAAGCCATAGTGATGCGCGGATCGGCTCTGATAGCACCTGAATCAGCATGTACGCATCAACCATCCAGCCGTTACAACATGATTGAGCTAGCAAAGCAGTTTTGTGTTGCTATGTGTGGTATTTATTCAGTTTTGGGAAATCACGATGTCTAGAAAGCATCAGTGGCTGCAGCTGACAGGGACAGCTAACGTTAACACTAGCAGCAAAGCTAACATCAGGATCGTCATCCGTTAAAAGCCTCCCGTTGTCGGATACGACATGAAACTACTCCAGTTAGCTCAATCATGTTGTAACTAAGACATCCGCTGGAGAAAATATTTTTTTCACGGGCCACTTTGTGAGTTTAGTGAGTTATTACAGACACGGCTAACGGCTAACAGCTAACGGTTAGCCCAGCTAATCTACGATAACCATGTTATTAATTACACACAGAGAAAATACTAATGTTTGTTCAGTCATTGTGTTTATAGACTTTACAAACATCAGATTAGTCTAAACGGTGATATAGTGACGTGAAAAATGTGATATATACATATATATAGCTAAACTCAGCAAGGTAAACAACAAGGGGATTCCCATTTACACAGTGGTAAGAGTGCTGGACCGAAGTGTCGCACAAAAAAATGGAAGCTGGCTGCGTTCTGTTTTGCCTCCGTGTTTCCGTGAAAAATAAGGTGGATAGGCAGGGGCCCAGACATATAACAGGTAACACACACATACAAGAACAACAAAACAACACATAGTCCCAGAAAAGATCTCCACAACAGTCCTACAAAGCCTATATATATAGGCGTACATACATACACACATACATATACACACATATATACATATACATACACATATGGGCGTGTATATATGGGTATTCAGCTACAAATTGTACGTAAATATCACTCATGCATCAACTAATCATTGTACTTGGAAAGTAGATGTTTCATTAAGTTATTCTTAAAGGTGGAGACTGATTGTGACATTTGGATATTTGTATCAAGCTCGTTCCAGATCTGCGGTCCCCTGCACGCTACACTCAGACTAGTGGACTTTAGCCTTCGTTTCTTCCCGAAGATAAGATGCTTTTTTCTAGTGTTGTGTATGTGTAGTGGACGGCAGACTGGAACAAGGTCACACAATTGGTTATTTAAGCCATATACTACCTGGTACATCATTCATGCATTGTGATAAATGTTACATTCTGAAAGCTTTAGTAGACCATAAGCATGAAAGAGTGGGTTTGTAGGGGTTTTGTAATGTGACCATGATAAAGCGCGTAAAACTTCCTTTTGGAGAATCTGTAATTTCTGTAGATGGTTGGGAGAAGTGTTACACCATATGACATTGCAATAATTTATGTGGGGGTTAAATAAGGTTTTATATAAAGTAAGAAGTGCTGAGAGTGGGAGGAAGTGTCTTAGCTTAAAGAACAGACCAACGTATTTAGACAATTCTTTGGTTGTAGAGTTTATATGAGATTTGAAATTCAAGAACTCATCAATGTGTACCCCCAGGAATCTAGTGGAGCAGACTCTCTCAATATCCTGCCCGTTGATATTAAGAGTAATAGGCAGATCATGCTGGTGATTTTTATGAGATCGAAAGAAAATGTAGTTAGTCTTTTTAATATTTATGGATAATTTGTTACATTTGAATCATGTGTCCACCTTCACTAGCTCTCTATTAATGATATGTTGTAGTTCAAGTGGATTCTTATGTGATAAAAATAGGTTTGTATCATCCGCAAACAGTATTTTGTGTAGTACAGATGAAGAATAAACAAAATCATTAACATACAGGATAAAGAGGAGTGGCCCCAAAATAGAGCCCTGGCGAACACAAGCAAAATAGCTGTCATGAACATACCTTTTGCTTTTTCAGTCTGAATAGACTTGCGTTCTTTGATTCACGACTCGATCTTCAGCTCACTGGGTGTGCTTTGTGCCACTGTTGCTGAGCAGTGGCTCTCACTTGTTCTTCAGCTCAGGGGGTGCATGTTCAATGTGCAGGCTGTTCTCAATTTTTTTGTGTGTAGGAAAAGCAATGCACACAAATTTGTACATATCCCACGTATTTTGAAAGGCTGCAATCATGTGACCAATGCACTGACGGGAATGAACAAGGAAGCAGTCCAAAAATTGGCCTTTTGCCTGGGACTTTCCCTGAAGTCTAATGTTCGGATCCGTGTAAATTTTTAGTGAACTTTGAGTGAAGCTACGTCCTCATCATGTTTCTTTTCCTAAACCTTACCTCAGTAACTTTACTTGCCTAAACCTAACCTCCATATTTTTACGTTAATTATGTAGCTGTGTGTTAAAGACGTGACAGCATTCGTGGGGCGCAAATTTGTAGCATAGCTTACCATACAAACTGTTCTATGAGAATATGTTGCAGTAAGAGTCATGGCTGAATGAGAGTGGTGCTGAAGAAGAGCCTGGAACAGCGGCTCTCAGAAGTTCACCTGACTCTCATGCGCAATTGTGCAGGTTAGGTAGGGTAACTTGATTCCATGGCCTTAAGTGTGTAATGTGACGTTACATATGTACCTAACTTAAAATAACTCAGTGTTGACTACTGTTGTCACACAGGATATGAACAGCTGGGTCACAGTCCTGTTTGTCTGACCTATTTATCCACACCAACCTCTTTGCTATTCTATTCTTCCTAGGATGGCAAAAGCATGACCCTGCTCTCCCTCTGACTGGCTAGTGCCATACAGTCATTGGCTAGTACTCGTTGCCTTTGTTGGTTGGATTGTTTAGTTTCAAGCAAGAGGTGTGAGATTGGTTAGAGATGAGTAAGAATATCAGGTTAAGCCAATCAGAACGTAATCAGTAAGGCAGAGTAGGCTGGGCCAGGCGCTTGCCATCCTAGGAAAAAAAACAAAAAACCTTGCGATAGTCTCCCTATGCAGAATTTGTTGCTCTTTATACTGTGTCGCCTTGCCCATTTGCCCCCATTATAATTACTCTAGCCACTAGAGGGCACCGCCTACACTAAATTTTAATATGGGCTGTAATAAGCTGCAACGTAAGTGATTGTTTTTTGTGGAGGACAGTCTCAAAGATTTAAACTAAGGGACAAAATAGTTTGAGATACATTTTGAACTGGTGAAAAATGGGAAAATCCAGAAATGAAACATCTCCCATCTCTGCTGAAATGTGATCCCTTCATGTTGACACGCTCGGCTCCTGGCCTGTAAGACACTAGTGTCTCCACTAGTCTGTTTAAAAGCAAACGTAATGTTATGTTCATTACATTGTTATATTGCTTATTACTAATGCAATATAAGTTGGATTTAGCACTGCAACACTTTTAATTTGCCGGAACATGTTATATTGATAAATGCCGGTTTAGCCGGTTTGCATAAAATCAGACCGGTTTAAGCTCATACACTGGATCAGACCGGCAAAACTAGACTCGAATAGAAATCAACCCAACTCCGATAGACCAAATTATTGTATTGACTGAAGAAAGATTATTATGTCAAGTGTTTACCTCAAGACTAAAATGTCCATATTTTCATTCAACATTAACTCCAAATAAGAAAGATGTAGCTAATGGCAGATCTTTCTATAGGTGACATAGGCAGTTGTCTAGGGCGCCAACTGGAGGGGGCACCAAAACCCCCGCTTATTAGAGCAGCAGAGTAAGAGATAATGAAAAGGCAAAAGCCATTAAAAAATAAGTCAAAATATTCAAAGTCGTACATGGCATATTTTTTTGTTATTTATAATTACTGTTTGTTAGCTAAAGTTGTTTATTTGTCTTGATTTCTAATTAGCTCTTGTTCTTCTTTGTAATAAATACAATAAATATAAAAAGATAATAAATAAAAGATAATAATAATTTGGGGGGGGTGGGGGGGTGGGGGGGGGCTCTGGCAATGGCTGCAGTTTACTAATGACCAAAACTCACATGAACTTCTGATCTCAAGATTATAAATCTAAAAATAGCTGATAAAATGAACACTCCACTGTATGAAAATGAGTAAGAATGATAATGACAAAAAACACTGCAAAGGACACCCAAAACTTCTATAGAGATCGTATTATATTTCCAAAAATATATGTACAGTCTATTACAAAGGTTACAAAGCAAAAAGAATTGTCTATGTAACAAGAAATCGTCTAATTAAATGATCTTACAGTTCTGCTGTTGGGGAAAATACTTTTGACCAGTGAATATTCTGAATACTTTCATCACAGAAAAATAAATAATAAATTGACATTTTGTATTACTGTACAACAACCTAAAATCAAAACAAAGTAAAGATGGAAATCCTATCAGCTGTCTTTGGTCCTAAATGAAAAATTATGTACAACTGAAATCTTGTGGGTGACAATAATTCATCTGCGAGATAGAAAAATATAGTGCATTTTCAATGTATTCAGAGCTCTCTACTGAGTAATATGTGTAAAAAACAATATAAATAAAATGTACAAGTTTTACAATTAGAACATATACAAAGATTCCCTCAAAGTCTCGTCTCTCTCTGACACAATCAACAGTGCTGCACTCTTTGGAATTATCCACCACCTCGCCAAAGCGGTGAAACTAATTTCCAACTGCTGAACCACAAGATTTGAAAAATAATGTCATACTCTATCTGCTATTCCTGATTCCAACCAACCCTCTACATCCTGTATGTTTTTTTTTCCTTTTTAAATTTTATACTCTTTTTATATTTTTGCTGAAACAGAGCCACAACAAATCTTTTCTTGTCCAGAGTTGAGCAACCTGAAGTTTAAATGTGGATGAATCGAGCTGAAACAGACAGTAAAGTGACTTGATGGTGAAGGTTACAGGTGATTTGGACGCTGAATGTATTGTATCCTGGCCGTAATCTCAATTTGGCTCAAACTGCTGTTTCCCCAGCACAGGAAAAAAGGGGACTGAGGCATTCTACCCTGGGGTGTGAGGGGCCTCCAGGGGCCCTGGTTTTAAAATCAGAGCAGGGGGGTGGAGGGGGTGAGAGAGAGTGCTGCCTGTGAACTGGGGAGTTTTGTGCTGACTGAATGACTTTATGCCGGTATTCAATTCAAAGGTCTGGCCAAGGCCCAATTGCTGAGCTCCGCTGTATGGATAAAGGGAGGGTGTGTGTGACACAGGGGCTCAGAGCTGGTCAGGGCTAATTCCTGGTGTCTCCTCACAAAGGTGAGTCCCACAGTGAAAATGGATCAATGCACGCATCCAAGCTAAGCCGAATCATTCTGAAAACACATGTAAAAACGACATGCATCCACACAAGCTTGTTCAGGTAATTTTTGTTAACATCTCTGCCCTTACAAAGCACCTGGACAAATGGGAAACAGGACATGTAGTCATCTTTTGGTGAAATTCAGTATTAAAGCTAAAATCTGGTAAATCAGCTGCACACACTGGGCAAACCTCCTGGTATACAGTGTTTAAAGGAATACTTCACCCCATATATTATTTGCTGTGTATCAATTACTCACTCTGTGTTACCCTGAATTCATGGAGAAAACTTTGATTTTCTCGCACGTCTCCACCGTGAATGGAGAATCCAAATACTGAGAAAATTCTTAATGAATTTAAGTGAATGGGGGCCGCCTTTAACAACAGCAAAACTACACCAAAACATTCATTTACAAACTCACATGTATTTTCCCTAAAGCTTTACTATTTAAAACACTTCCTTCCAGCTTCAGGCATTCATGAGTAGTGCACCTTGGTAGGCACATGCCTTTGAACTCTGCTTGTGCATTTCATTGAAAAGAGTTTGTAAACAGATGTTTTGATATAGTTTTGCTGTTGTAAAAACACGGCCCCCATTTACTTCAATTGATCAAGAATTTTCTTTGTTTTTGGATTCTTCGTTCATTGTGGAGGCATGTCAGGAAAACAGAGTTTTCTCTGCTACTTTAAGGTAACACAGGGTGAGTAATTGACATACAAAAGATCATTTTGGGGATTGAGTGTTCCTTTAATACAGCCAAAGTCAACAGCTAGTCCTCTTTCAGTTTTTTCTGTTTCTGTTGTCAGACAATGTAACTTATTTTAATTAGTAATTAAATTGCAGCTCATCATTACCTGTAAAACAGTCATTATAAAGGCAACTGTGCCGATGAAATCTAGAGCTCAATTAATTAGTTGATGAATTAATCAATAGAAAAATATACAAGTGACTAATTGTTTGAATTATTCTTTGGACAAAAAAATTCAAAGGTTGAATGTCCACATTGCTGGATTTTGCAGTCCTCTATATTAGTTAACTTAATATCTCTGGATTTTGCACAGTTAGTTGGACAAAACAAGGCATCTGAGGATGTAAACCAGGCATTCACAAAATGTGATGAGCAGTTTTTACTATTTTATAGACCAATGGATTACTTGGGAAAATAACTGGAAGAGGACTTGATAATGAAAATAGTCGTTAATTTCATCTTCAGTCATTTTTGAATGATCAGGAAAAATAAACAGAGAGAATGAGAACACCTGTATTGTGTATTCAGCTACACTAACATTTAAAACCCTTGACCCCAGAGAGGATTTTGCATGAGGTCAAGCCCAGTATGTTTAACTGTGCAGACTATGTGTGCAGACAGGATGTACCCGAACACATCCCCCCTTTGCAGTTGTGAATGTCTGCTGCCCACATCCGTTTTAGGATTAAAGCTACCCTCTTTACAGGTGACAGACTTTCCTCAATAGTGTCTAGGCAGGCTTACATTGTCCTTGTTTCCCCTCCCTTTCAGTTTTATCCACCCTGGAGAGCCTTTTCTAAAGGCTCCACACCAGATGAGTCTGGACATAGGGCCAAGACGGAGAGAAAAAGTTGTTTTCAAATGTGGCTGGCTTAACGTGGATGCAGTTTGAGAGATAATGGAGAGAAGGAACAAAGCTAGTAATGGTTTTACAGCTTGTCAGTGAGCCTAAGGTTGATGATTCCTGATGCTTTTTTTCTTTGCATTTGAGACAAAAACAGTTGAAAGACTGTAGCTTTGAAAATATAGATTTATCTCAGGTTACAGCAGCAGTAAAAGATATGGTTGTAATGGTTTTCCCCTATGAACAGCGCTCCTCTACATGACAGCTGAATAACTGCATTTTCTTATCAAAGAATACTGCACTAAAACATACTCAACATGGAAACTTTTTTTTTTCTGTTTTTTTTTTTTTTCCTTTTGCATTTGAAGTGGAGACAGATGGCACCGAATAGGTTGATTGGCTTTTAGCACGTCTTCTGCAAAGCCCCCTCGTCTCTGTTCTCCATACAAAGCCGTATGGAAGAAAAGAGGAGCAATCTTAAGAGACACTTTAATGCATGTTCCATCACATCTACGCCTGTGAAGGGATGAGCGGCGGAGACGCATGAATAAACAAGGGGAGCTGCATGGCTGCCTACAGAGCTGGGACGGTGGGATTTAACAGCACGATCTGCGTCTGACTCGAGCTCCATCGTTTGGTCCTGCATTTTTAGACCCCGAACCCTGAAGGGGTTCTTTGATTTCTGGACGGCGCGTCGGGTGTCGGAAGATGATGTCAGCGTGGCTAATTGGCACCTTTCTAGTGTTTCGAATGGCGCCTCTTTCATCTCCGCAGCCACTCAGTTCAACATTTCCATGCCATGTTAGATTCCCATCAAACGTTTAGCATATCATAGCGGCAAAAATATGACATGATTATTTCATTTGATGACTTGGCACGGCAGTTTTTCCGAGCGCTTTTCAAAACCGTTTTTAGGTCAAAGAGGTACATTCCTTTTTCATTTCCCGGCGGTGACTGAATCGTTCCAAAGGGTTTGTCTCAGCACAGCACACACATGCGATAAAACCTAGCACCTTAAGAATCTCAGGTGAGGACCATTTCTACCTGGTTATTATTGCTCTGTTAAGTCCGTCTCTTCTCCGCCGACTGTGTCACTCGTGGCATTAAACCGTGCACTTGATTTTACCAGTTCAAGTTCCAGATAAAAAGACATCACACTACAAGGAAAACAAACAAATAGGGAGCTTGTCCACCCTTTAAATGAACGCAGAAAGCATTGCCATTGAAGTGCCTAAAATACTGGCAATACTAAACACATTTTAAGGCAGTATTACGTCTCGGATCCACCCTTAAAAAATTGTATTTGCAGCTGAAAACAAAAACACTGTGTGCAACATTTTAGGCAAAATGATGGCAAAACAATTTGTGGTGGCTTCAATTTCATCTTTCAACAGTGCTGCAACATTCTACTCAATAACCCAGTAACTGTTCTGCGTCTCCTGTAGTGAACACTAAGACAACGGATATTGCTACTCTGATATAAAAGTCTTTTGATTCGAAGAACAATTCGCCTCCTGCATCTCCTCAGTGTTGCACTCTTCAGAAAATTCCTTAATATAAAAAAAAGGTTGAAACCACGTCACTCCTGTAGGTCACAAACAAGCATGTGAGGATTTTCACTTCAACAGCACATGAAGGAAAACACTGCAAACAGTTCACACAGTCCAGCATGTGTCAGCACAAAAAGTACCTTTGAGCCTAAAAAGTTCCCTCCGCGTTTGGATAAAAGAGAGTTTACCCTGTTGTCAAGTCCAAGTAGAAGAGGGAAAAAAACTGCTGCATGGGCCACAACATGTCACTGTGGCGGACAGGAAGAAAATTAACAAATAAGAAAAAAAGGAACAAGTGAAACCACCGCAAGTAGACAGGTTTTGTTCTTTTTAAAGGAAATCCATAGCTGTGGTGTGCACTTTAAATCATTAAGTTAAAGAAACTCCTGTTTAATGCGCCTTTTGATATGTGGTTGAGTTCATAAGCGCTTCCATAAAATCAAAACAAAAAAAGAAGAAGAAGAAGAAGAAAAAAGTAAGTCATCTCGTCCAGGTAGTTTCTTTTTTTGTTGCTGTTTTTTTGCCCTTTTCCTCTCTTTAGTGCCCTTTGAAGAGGCGGACCACAATCCTTCACTGAGGAACAAAGGAATGATTTCACTCCAGACACAGCCGGAAGAGTCAGACATAACAGACGTCCGTTTACTTTGACGATTATCCCGGTTACGTCCCAGGCACTGCTCCAGATAAGTTCTGTTTTTGTGTTTTTTTGCCCTGCCCGATGCGGCCCGTCGCGGTTCGTCACACCTGGACGCCCGTGCCGTGGAGATGCAGCATCTGGGCTCTCATAGTCTGTATGCTGCTCATGATCTTTTTCTGATGGCCCACCAGCGTGATCCCCAAGCTCATCACGTCCCTGCAAGACAGGACAACACATCAATCATTTCACCGGACCACAGTGAGGGGGCAATACAAGTGCGATTTACAGCCTCAGCTTTTTCATTATTGGGAGTAAAGGGTAGAAAAGAGGCAGCTAAACACAACAGCACACTTGTTTATGAATCTCATCAATGTCAAGGGTGACGTAGCAAAAAAAGTATGAGATGAAGTTTTCTTGGGAGGTGTTTTTGGAAAGTTTATACGAACTCCTGTGCACTTTACGTGGACGTGGAGACGAATGTTGACTTCTGATGGTCATTGGAAGTTTTGAGTAACAACTCAAGGGCAAGCCACAGTCTGGGCTGAGGCTCATATTCAGCTGCTCTCAACTAGTAAGAATGCAATAAACAGCAAAGAGTTCACTTAAGTTTAAGATGAGGACACACTACATTAGAATGTCTGAATTAATGTATTCACAGATCATTTACAGTTCCTAAATCCCACACGTGACATGAAATGCTTATTTGCATTATCCTGTTAACATGAACAAGTGCACAGGAGCTCTCAGCTAACTGTACTTGCTGTAGTTATGTTAAAAGAAAATGATGGTATAGAACAGAACAGCAATGGAGTCATGTAATTTCTATTTTTTTAAACAGTAACACTGTTCTTATAATCAATTTTAATAATTTCTGCTTTGCTGTTTTTTTTTATTTGTGTTAAATTAGGCTTCCACTACTACAACATCAAACTCAATTATTTGTGCAGATGTTTACGTAAAGCCAAAGCCCTTTGAGCCCATAGAAAGCTTTTAATGCGAAACGTGTATGTAAGTGTTGAGTTTCACTGAGGGGAGCAGAAAAGACTGGAAATACTTAGTGTATGAAACTGTTTCTTTCTGATCTAAGGACAACCTCAGAACAAGAGAGCAGCTAATGGAATTAGTGTGTACATAATATCTATTAAGAGATATCTGCATATGTATGCTTATCTGTAGGTAATGGGGCAAGATTTAGGTATCGGAATGGTTCTGCTTTGTAGTCCAAGCAGTAGAGACTCAATAGCAACGTTTGTTTCCAATAACCTCTGGGTAGAAGACCCCTGCTTCACTAACAACAAATGTAACGGGGCAGAGCAAAAATAGACAGGAAGTCTGTATTGCTGCGACGTGTAGTTACATTTTGGGGACGATCAGGCTACGATGTAGGGTACGGCGTCGATTCAGTGCACAAGTATAAATCCCTCTTTACCCTTCTGTCAGACAGCCTTTTCTGACGGGGAACTGGAGCCATTATTTCAAAGCCACCAGACTCCATTGACAACAATTCATTGTGTATATATTTTTTGCATATATTTTGCAGAACATGGAAGTTGATGGTTTATGATTGCTGATCAGTTATTGTGTATGCTAAAGCAGTGAAAATATTCCAAATATAGTGTAACCTTAACTGATATTGATTCTTTTTTTTAGGTGGCTATAATATGTTTTTCTTCGGCCCCCTCCCCAGTAGTACATTGCGTAGCCACTAGCAAAGGACCACAGTCCATAACGTAAGCAGAGAAGAAACGTCAGATAGTTTGGACCACTGTGTTTAAATATGTATCTTTAAATATCACAGTTACGGCTGAAAATGACGACAGATTTCACATATTTCCGCAATTAAAATCATTTGCTGATTATCTTCCCAGAAATGACTGATGTTGTCAGCTTGACATCATAGTGATACTGTCTATTGACCAATAATGTTTCATTGGCCAGCAAAAAGTCTGTGGAGAGAAAAAGAGGCAGAAGGCACTGGCAGAACGCGATCCTGGAATCCATCTGCTACTGTCTGATGACAATCTAGTTCTTCATAAGAAATTAGTCAAAATGACTGTTGCACGGAGGACAAAATCTTGGCCCAGATATCTGCTGGCTACACCGGATCTGACATTGGTGTTTGAATGTACATTACACTGAACTGACATCTTATAAACATGGAGGAAGTGTTGAGTTTGCTTGAACAGCAAATTAAAATAGAAGTAAGGCAAGAAATAAAGGCCTGGTTGTTCTGGCTCTGGTTTGGGTCAGAAAAGGCCCAGGCCAGTATTTGAAAATGCATAGTACGTTAGAGAAACCTCATGGGATGGCAGTCTACCAAAACTCTGCCTGAATGCTTAAGAGTGGATTTGTTTACTCAGAGTGGGGTAGAAGGAAGTGGAGTGTAGGTGAGATCACAGCCTGAATGTGGCTGGTATTAATGTTCTCTACTGATGCTTAACCACTTGAGGGCTTCATATCTACTTACTCGATTGACATCCTGGCCACAGATTCCAGGGAACTGTAGCCAGCTGCTGTGAAGTTGTCTCTGTATCGTTCCATCTTGATGGCTTCCAGCCACTCTCCCACTGAGCGGAAAGCGGTGAAGTCTGGTGTGCTCTGATCTAACAGTGGACTAATTGGTCTGTGGGATGAGCACAGAATGATGTTTATGTCTTATGTGAAAAGGAAACGTTCCGCTGAAAACACAATCAAGCAGGAGACGAGACAAAGCGACGACCAAAGGCATCCAGCGGTGCAGTAAATTGCAAGTAGGGGAAAAAAACTAGCTGATTGGAGGCTTCAATCAATAAGAAATTCACAAACAGATGTAGCATGTCAGTTTTCTGCTTCCGAAAATTATTTTTAGTCAATAACTCTTAAATCTGAATGCATTCGCCACATAAAGACCCCATATAATAAAGTGCTTTTTAACCAGCTGTAACCTCTCGATCTCACCTTGGGAAAGTATGTTCTCACTGCAAATAGAGTGAGTCTGACAAACGTCACAGTGAGGTCTGGAGTTCCCACTGCACTTTAAAGTACCAGGAACTCATTACAGAGATTGATTTAAAAGCCCTGCTATTGACCATAAAGCCATGGAAGCTGCTTTGGGGTATCGATCTCTTGGGATTTATCTTTCATCTGTGAACTACAGAGGCTAAATCATCCACTGGACACTTTGGATCATCTGCTAATGCACTAAAAATAAAAGTTCAAATTCTTTATTGTACCAAGCCACATTTTAAAATGATTCATTTGGGGTTTTATTTCCTCACCTTGTACATGTTCCAACTGGGGTTTTCAAAGTGTTAGGGTTGCGGATCATCTTATCAAGGATGCCGACTATCTGATCGAATTTGGGACGTTCGGCTCTGTCTTTCTGCCAGCAGTCCAGCATTAGCTGATGCAGGCCAGGTGGACAGTCCATTGGGGCTGGAAGACGGTAGCCCTCCTCTATCGCCTTTATGACCTGGAGAATGCAAAACAGATGGGAGTCATTAGTATCAGCATTTAGTATCACCCTAACCCTAAACCCTTTGATATCACCCTAACCCTCACGTCTTTAGTATCACTCTGTTAACTTTTTAGTTAAAGGAATACTTTAAACCAAAATGACCATCAGTTTATCAGTAGCTCACCTTGAGTTACCTTAAATTTATGAAGAAAACTTTGGTTTTCTTGCACGCCTCAACAGTGAATGAAGAACCCAAACAATTGAGAAAATTCATGACGACTTAAAGTTAATGGGGGCCATGTTTAGCAACAGCACAACTATGTCAAAACATCTTTCTCACATGGCTCTGGCAGTATCATCCAAGTGTCATTTATCCACTCGTATGCTCAGTTCTTCCCAAGCACATGTATTGTTTGCTAAAACCTTTCGATTGAAAAGACTTCCACATAAAGACTCCCACACACGGCAAGTAGCGTTCCGGAGCAACATAATGCGTTTGAACTCTGCACGTTCATTGCATTGAAATCCCACCTACCAGCTTGGTTTTGGCCAGGAGTTCTGCTGTCACTCACCCACGCCTGTCGCTTCCTGGCAAATAAATGCACTGGGAGGTGGGATTTCAGTGAGAGCAAGGGCAGAGTTCGAATGCATTCATCATGTGTGCACGAGACTTTTTGGACATGTTTTAAATAGTAAGGTTTTCGTGAAAATGCATGTGTTTGATAAGTACTATGCATGAGACTTGACACAAGTTGTGTGAGTTTGATATTGAATGCTTTTATATAGTTTTGCTGTGTTAAACGTGGACCCCATTTACTTCAACTCATCAAGAATTTTCTATGTTTTTGGATTATTTGTTTACCGCTGAGGCATGAGAGAAAAACAAAATTGTTCTTCACAAATTCAACATAATACAGGATGAGTAATTGCTATACAAATTATCATTTTGGGGGTGAAGTGTTCCTTTAATATCACTCTAACCCTCAGTTCCCTGACACTTATGGCAACATTTAATTCAACAGTTTGATTGCTGACATCCAGGGGCACAATGTTTGACACAACAATGGTGTCATGGAGGGAGGTTTCCAGAGCTATCTGACAGCCATTTCAGACGGAGAATAATGGCATTTTCACTTTCACCTAAATGTTTAAGATTATATATTTGAATTATGGACTGAAGGCCGGGATGTTGGCTTTGGTTTTAGTTTGATGTGCTTAGTTGTAAACCTTTTGTCTAATTAGTCCAAACGTCACCACCTCAGCAGTGAAGTTGGTGAGCAAAATATTATAAGTCACAGCTGACCAAAATAAAGAATGTAAGATCCAGCATGTCATATCACCATCATTTGATGGTCATATCAAAAAAACTGTGTGATTTATTCAGCTCAGGCACATTACCAAAATCAGACCTTTTCACTCATTTACTGATCCTGAAAAGGTTACTTTTATTTTGTCTTGGCTTGATTATCCTAGCTCTCCTCTTGCTGGGCGCAGTCAGAAAACAATCTCCTGCCTTCAGTTAGTGCTAAACGTTGTAGCTGGGCTTTTGACCAACTCTTTTGGAGACGGAATCATATTACACCTGCCCTTGTCTCTCTTTACTGGCTGACTGCAAGTTTTAGAATTGATTTCAACATTTCACTGATAAACTTTGCGGCACTACAAGGTCAAGGTTACATTGTAGGTATTTAGCGTGTTATATGCCACAGTGCAGACTCACTTCCCTGAGTTTAATTTCCCACGTTGCTCATGTGTGTAAACAAAAGGCTATATTTATACAGCTCTGATAAATAATAGAAAAGATCTGTCCACTGTGTCTTTAAACCTAATCTATTGTCACTCTGCATCATGCATGCAGTTAAGCACAGAGTTCATTAAAAGTCAATGCGGTGAGAACAGTAGGTGCAGTGGGCACTTTGATTTGAGCCCCTAGCTCCCCGTCCTTTATTGTGTGGATAAGGAGCTGTGTACGTTTCTGCATATATTCATCAGCTATTTCTGTCAGGACCGCTCAGACAAGAATGAGTCATGGAGGGAAAAGGTGTCAAAACACTGCAACTGTTGGGAAAAATGCAAATAACGTTCTTCCTGCATCCCCGGAGGATGTTTGCTGACATCTTGACAAAGTGCAAAAATTTCTGACATTGATGTCTGTCAAGTAGCAGAGCGTCAAAACACCACATACGCCGCTTTAATGCCCGGCCATCTTGTTTAGCATTTCTAACATCTGATTGTTCAATCAGCATGTCTCTGCTTTGGAGCGCCGAAGAATCTTAATAATGTTTAGGCCTGATGCTGTGGGTGCTAAACGCCAGACACCATATAGGAATCTTAAGGCCAGAACTAACTCGCCTTCTACCATCAATCAAAATGTGCCAAGTGTCCGACAATAAGAACAGCTTCAAGTGGTCTGACGCAGTTGGACTCCCTCAGTGGGAGTTGGCAGGGAAGCAGGCAACAGCACTCAGAGAACTGCGGGTGAGTCAATCATTATAGCAATTTGTGACATTTGCAAAAAAAAAAAAAAAAGAAGTATGGGACTTAAAAAAAGTAAATGTGTTCTTTGAGGAGGAAAAGTCTGGGCAATGTCAGGAGTCAGGTCTTATGATTTACTTGATGTTGAAGCACCTTAAAGATACATTCTCTGATCAAATTACAGCACCTACTAGAACCCTGAAATCTCCAAACTCCCCTTCCAACTCTAGTGCACTGAGTTTCACAACATCAGCAGTCAGGTGGGAGAAGATTCTGCGACTCTGAAGCTGTGTGTATTTTTACTTTTTTTTTCAGTCTCTAAGCACTGCAATGCTGGAGCAAAATATCTTGTTTTGACTGTTGTGCTTGACTGGGGTTTGAATTCATTTAATTTTATAGTGACTCATATTTAAAGGAGAACTACACCCATTTTGCATACATGTTATTCCTATGGTCTGAGACTGTAAATATTAGGAGACATGAACTCTCCCCCAAATCCAGAAACTAGAGTGCAGAAAATTAAATTTGTGATGTCATCAAGTATAAAGTCTGGAGCTACTTTATAGACAATTAATTGGGAGAGATGTTCTAGATGACACTGAGAGCACACAGGGGAATGTTGTGAGTATATGGGTACATTTTCTGTTTCATAAGAACACTGCAGCAGAATAAAGCTCATTTGGGTAATGAAAAAAAAAAAAAAACATTATGTGGGTCCACAAAATCAGGCTCCTATTCATTGTCGAAGGAGCAGGTCCAGACTTTAAACTTGATAACATAACAAGTTTGAGACTTCCGTCTCTGGTTTCTGGCTTTGCCAGAGTGAGAGAGAGTTTCCATTTCCTGCTACACTGTAGCATATATAGCACATACAAAGATATCAGAGCGAAGTTCTTTGCAAAATTAAATGCAAACTTCAAGATTTTGATACACTCTCCAACCAGACTAAAATGCAACGTGTACTTGAAGAAAACAGAATCAGCGCCACAGAAGCAGCAAAATGTCAGTGCATGTCACAGCCTAAGAGACACCCATCACAACACTTAACAGCAGTTCACCTCCTCACAGCTCACACTCTGCCTTTTTATTTAGTCCTACACTTCATGAGTTAGTTTTCTTTACAATTTACATGTATGAATTTCTATTAATATCTTGTTGTTAATTGTTTCTTTATTGATCTTAAGCAAAGTTGCGTATACTGTATGCACAGCACACCTATGATACACACACACACACCTCCACAAACAACAACACATAAAAGCTGGAGTTCCTCTCCTTATAGCTCACAGTCTGCTTTTTATTTACTCCTCTACTCCATTTTTGTTTGTTTGTTTTCACACAACATGTGTTTATAGGTAAACATATATGGACCATATGAGATATGTATGTCTATATATGTACTTAATGTATATTTTTCTATTTTGCTCACTAACTTAATCACCTGTTTTGCTCTGTTGACTATTGTCATTTGTGTAATCAGCTGTACATTAAATGCCTTTTAAATGTATCTGTTCTTTGGCAATACGTTAAATGTCATGCCAAAAATGCCTACTTAATTGAAAAATTGAACTGAATTGAGTAGCTCATGTTCACAAATACTGATTTAAGTTTCCTAAGCAGTGGTGTTCCAAAGGGGGGCCATGGCCCCCTTGATACATTATCTGCCCCCTGTCGAAAATAACTGGAAACAATTACTGTTTTCATGACGCTATAGTGCCCTAAATTTTTAAGCTAGCAACAATGTAGTAGTATCTTGTGAAACAAGACAATGTAAGGCATCAGTTCATATCAACCATGTCCACATAGCTTTGTCGGTAAGGGGGCTAAATAAGGCTCTAGCTTTGGCTAAATTTTGGTGAGGGAACAAACAGCATGACCATTTTCAGAGGGGTCTCTTGAGCTCTCACCTCACGATATCTGAATGAAAATGGGTCCTATGGGTACCCAAGAGTCTCCCCTAAACCTAAGTGGGCTTGTCTCCAGTAAAAGTTTTGTTCCTTACAATCAATGTACTCCTTAAAATTAAGACTTCATATTCTTCTCTTTAAGAGAAAGGACAACCAGCCTATCTGAAGAACAACGAAACAAATGTATAGATACATAACGCATTAAAACAGAATTGTTATGGAGCTTTACGACTGTTCCTATGCCATGGAAGTAACATACTAGAATTCCTCTTTAAATAATACTTACTAAAGTATAACCTTGGGATACAGTTCCAACATAATGTTGTTGACTCATATTTAGGTTTTGCAATTATCTGATATTAATGTCGTTATGTTCTATGTACAACAAGAGAGATGTAAACACATTCCCTCTCTTGCAGTAAGTGAGTGTAATGGGGCCTTTCCATGTTTCGTTAAAGGGTGTCAAAACATCTATAAAAGATACAATTAAAGAAGTACTCCATTAGTGTGTGTTGCACCCCATAAAGTTGGGGGTTTGCAAGAGACAGATGCAAAAATAAAAAGGATCAAAGCAGCAGAAGCTGAGGTATCCTGACTTTTACAGATGAACATGGATCCTACATTTCCCATAATGCAACCAATAATATCTTTTCTGACTGGTAAATGACATATCTTTCAATCACCACACCTTCACAGTTTGTAACGCAGTCTTTCTTGTAAAAATTGTGTTGTCTTTAGGTCTAAGCTAAGATAACCTTTATGACATCATCAGTGCTATTTCCTCAGTTGACACCACAGAAGACATTATGCATATGTTTTTAAAGATTAAATATAGTAATGACCATCAGACATAAACTAATGTTGTCTAAAATCGGTGAAGTGCCCCTTTTACATCGTCTACTGAATGTCTTTACATCCTTGACTTTTATGTCTACAACAAACCAATGAGTGCAATGCAAACCACCACCAAATATGCCTGAGCTGCTCGCTGTGTAATTGGTTCAACACTGCTACTCACACTGGTTCCCATTACCATAAGTAATTATAAAACTTTTAAAGACATTTGAATCAAAAGCATTCTGCATGACAAGTGTTTTCCACTCCTGTTATTTATATTAATACCAGCATCAATCCATGTTCTCGGGACTTCATTTTTATGCGTGTCCCATTTCAGGACTGTTTCTCCTTCAAATGGATTCAGACTACATGATTATAGCAAGACTTCTTGAACTAATTAAGCCCAAGGTTACCGTCCCCGCCGAGCTGCTCTCATGAGGGTCCCACAAGAAAGCCTCAAAGAAGAATCACAAACTGGAATTTTTGTCTGTGATTTTCTCTTTCTTAGTGGAATGACTTCATTAGGGATAATTAGGGATGAATCTGGGGGAAAACCCTGCCCCCTCTCAGATGATAGTTACTCACATAGTCCCAGATAGGAAGTAGTGCATAACCTCCACTGTATTAACACTTGTGTATACTAGCTTGTTATTTGTGAGAAATACATTATAATTTATAAACTCATCCAAAAAAGGTCAGTAAATAGTAAAACTGCCTTCTACAAGTTCTCTGAGCTCAAGGCAACATCTACAAAATGACTCGTCTTTTACTTATTCTGTAGTGATATTGGTGAAGTGCCCCTTTAAAATGAAAGCTTCTTCTTAAAGATTATGATCCACGGTTATGAGGTCATCCATCAGCAGAATGACAAACATACAGTTTTAGTGAATGAATGACTTGATATATGTGGTGGTTACTTACGTCTTGATTGGACATATCCCAGTAGGGCCGTTCCCCATAGGACATGACCTCCCACATGACAATGCCATAACTCCACACATCACTTGCAGAGGTGAATTTGCGATACTGTATGGCTTCTGGGGCGGTCCATCGGACGGGTATTTTGCCGCCCTGTTCAGTAAAATGCAGGTCAGTGGCTGGAGTAAAGATCAAATTCATTACATCCTGCATCTTCCCCTAAAACATCAATTAGAGAGAATTTTACAGTTACACACATGGTCAGAACACAGAGACACAACTTTCCCACAAACTTAAAGCCAAAATACTGGAACTGCTTTCTAATTAGGCATCTTTTGTGGGTTTACAAGATGTAACCAATGACTCTGTCAACAGTTAGTTAATCATTTATTATTTCTTTATAGATTAATTATTGCTCATTAATAAGAACAACAAGGTTGTGTAATATCTCATTAGTGTGTCTTGTTGCTGGGCTGCAGAGTATCTACACTAAAATTTAGTCAACAGCATATTTACTATTAAAACTACTGACATGATGTAAAGGGGACCTATCATGCTCATTTTCAAGTTTATACTTGTATTTTGTGTTTCTACTAGAACATGCTTAAATGTTCAAACTAGAAATACCGCTACGCAGTTGTATGCCTCCCTGAACCACACAAGTTGTGCTGAGTAATGGCCAGAAAAGTGGTTTTGTAGAACATTATTATGTCACAGTGAAGTTGTCTTTTGTCTTTTTGGATAGAAACCATCATCTCTTCATCATTTTATCCTATTTTACATTTGAGTGAAATTTTATCATAATCAGCGTATGAATTATTGAGTTATGGCCAAAAACACGTTTTGTGAGGTCACACTGACCTTGACCTTTGATCACCAAATTCTATTCAGTTCATCCTTGAGTCCAAGTGGACATTTGTGTCAAATTTGAAAGAATTCCTTTGCGGTGTTGTTGAGATATCATGGTCATAAGCATGAGACAGACAAGGTTACAATGACCTTGACCTTTGACATTCTTGAGTTTAAGTGGGTGTTTGGGCCAAATAAAAGAAAATTCCCTAAAGATGTTCTTGAAATGTAGCACTCATGAGAATGAGACAGATGCAAGGTCACGGTGACCTTGACCTATGACTGCCAAATTTCTAATCAGTTCATCCTTGAGTTCAAGTGGACGTTTGTGCCAAATATAGAAGGAAGAAGAAAGAAAATACCTCAAGGCATTCTTGAGATAGTGTTTGCAAGAACTGGAGAGATGAAAACCCGAAAGCATAATGCCTTTGGCCATGACTATTGCTATTACACTTTCCACCATGAAAAATCCCCAATATAAGCTTCACAACAGGACATGTTGCAACAGGAATATGATCTAAAATTGTGAGGAAATTAACACCATCAGCAATCAAGATTACATGTTTCCCTGACGTAGGCATGTAACTATATGTAGCAGTGTATGTAATGTAAACTTCATTCACATACGTCTGCCTCATTATTTGAAACTTTGGCGAAGTTTTTTATGAACATCTAACACTGTACCATTATATACCATATGATAGAAAATATGGAAAAGCATAAAAGGTCCCCTTTATCTTTTATATATGCAGACTTAATGGATTATTAGATAGTACGAAGCTCATGGCCTTTTATGAATGGCTGTATTTGCATTCATTTTTATTAGGAGTGCATTGAAATGTTGACATTAAACTTTAGTGAAAAAAGCCATCACAGCCCAAAGAGACTTTTTGCTTCTTTTGTTCGGTCAGCAGTCTAAAACTCAAAATGAGTTAATTTATAATTATGTAAAACAATGAAGCAAATCCTCACAGTTGAGAAGCAAGAACCTGTTAATTGGCTGGCCTTTTTGCCTGAAAAATGGTTTATAATCAATTGAAAATAGTTGGTGATTAATTTTTTTGGCCATTGACATATCACTTTACTGACTAATTGTTTCCTCACTAAATATTAAACTACTTTCTTTCTATTTCCTGATTCCTAGTGTCCTTGTCTCTTTTAGACGACTTTTAAAACATCATAATTAATTCAATAAACTGACAGTGAAAACACATGATAATTAAGCCAAAACATTTCCCAACCTGGCAACCCAAAAGTTGTTCTTATTAATGGTTTATAACTGATGAATAAATGATTGTTTAACCATAAATAAGGGATTAGTTACAACTTCTGAACGCTTTCTAAAGGGGGGCATTGTTAGAAAGTTGTATGGAAACATAGCTTGCTTTGCATATTAAAAATGGTGCAGACTACTTGGGCGTGCACCAGCACTTCTGCTCCATTTTCATGTACCGGCTGCGACTTGATTAGAGGATTCAGACAGGGCTCTGGGTAGGGAGAGCAAGCGCTTTAATTGACTCACAGTTGTTGTGTAGACAGCCTCGGGATCGTCGTCGATCACCCTTGACAGGCCGAAGTCAGACACTTTACATACGAGATTGCTGTTGACAAGGATGTTTCGTGCGGCCAGATCTCGATGGACGTATCCCATATCGGAGAGATATCTCATTCCTGCCGCGATGCCCCGCAGCATCCCCACCAACTGGATGACTGTGAACTGACCGTCGTGTTTCTGCGCGGCACAGAGAAACACAGGCAGGTCAGCCATCTTCACTGACCATGAGGGAAATGTAGGTCACAGCACTGCAGCAGCTCTAGCACAAGATTTATGATATTTATGCGATGCACAGATCCTCCTGCAGACTGCCTGCTCTCTGGGACACTTTCTAGCAAATGCAAAAGAAAAGTTACAAAAGATGCTGCTCTGAGCCTCCTGCACTCCGAAGGTGATACTCACCCTGAGGAAACCATCTAATGAGCCGTTCTCCATGTACTCGATGACAATCATCACCGGTTTACCTGCAAAACAAAAAGATGGACAATAAAGAAGATGATTAATTGATACCTGAATTTGTTTGCTTACAAAATACTCTGCAATAAACAACTATGCCTAAACTGCTTCCAAGTTATTTTTAGCCGTGTGTTTCATTGGCTTTTAATTAAAAGTTACCATCTGCTCCTTTTATTACAGTGTCTAAATGAGAAAATGTTAAACAAGGACTGTGGCTAATTTAATCAGATATAATGTCACTCTAAATACGGCACTTTTACCTCCCCAAAGCTAAATATACTTTGATACACACAAGCTTACATGATTTTTAAAGGGACAATTCACCCCAAAATCAAAAAATACAGCTTTTTCCTCTAACTTGTGGTGCTACTTGTCAGTCTGCATTGTTTTTGTGTGAGTTGCTGAGTGTTGGAGATTCTGCAGAGATGTCTGCCTGCTCTTCAATATAATAGAACTAGATGGCACTCAGCTTGTGGTGCTCAAAGTGCCAAAGTAATACATTTAAAAACTCAACAGCAATGTTTCTTTCCAGAAATCATGACCCAGTTACTCAAGATAATCCACAGACCTTGGTGTGAGCAGTTATATGGAGGAACTATTTTCTTTATACTGAACTACACCCACCAACCGTATCACTGTGCAGAAGGAAGCGTGCATCTACTCATGGACAAGAGGCCCCTTTTTATAACAGCTCCGTGGAAGAAGATGCATGCTTCCCTTCTGTGCTATGATACAGTTGGCGGGTGTAGTATGGTAGAGAGTAGAGAAAAAGGAAGACATTGCTGTTGAGCAGTGGCGGAGCTCACAATGGTCCACTCAACCATCCCACCCCCTGAAAGAAAAGAAAAAACTGACATAAAAAGACGAACATAGGGAAAGTGGTGGAATGGAGTGAATATGGAGTAATGTTCACACTGGACGCAAATAAAACTATTCATGTGAGTGAATTACATGTCAAGTCAATGTAAAGATGCGATAAGACGCGAATTTCCACTGGGTGGCTCGATGGACACAATGCGAATGACCCAAAATACTTGAATAAAGTAGTGCAACTGAAGCGAGTAGCTTGATTTTGCATTATATGTTTATTCGCGAGAGTTGAAAAATCTGAACCTCATGGACAAATTTGCGCAATGATAGCCAATCAGCATTGAGATCTCCAGGGATGTGTGATGCCGAGGATTTAGCGGCGGAAGTTCATTTAGCGATTTAGGGATTTCACGTGCATATCACGCGAGTCAGTCACACGTATAAAGCGAGTCAACAAAAACTATTTTATCATTCAAACTCGTGCGAGTAACACAATGCGGAAATTATTGTGTTTGGTGTGAATACAATATAAGAGAAAATGAAAGGTCAAAAGCCATCCAGGGGCACAGTACAAAAACAAGAAGAAGACTGAATTTGCAAGTTTGCACATATCGTATTCTCTTACTGTTATTTATTGTTATTGTTCGCCAAGTTGTTTATTTTATGTTGATTTCTTATAATACTAGTACAACTACTACTACTATTACTACTACCACTACTAGTAATAACAATACTTTTTTGGGATGGTGGTCAGGGGGCTCCAGGGAAAGCTTGCCCTGGGCACTAAATGTGCTAGGTCCTGCACTGCTGTTGAGTTTTACAAATGCATTTTTCAGCACCATAAGCTGAGTGCCATCTAGTTTCATTATATTCAAGAAAAGGCAGACATCACTATATCATACATGGCGATACCTCTTTATCCAGACATTAAGAGCACTATAGGTAAGAGGAAAAAAGTGTATTTTTGATTTGGGGTTGAACTTTCCCTTTAAACAATCTCATGTTGTCAACATTGTTCCCTCTTTATTTATCATTTTATGTGTGATTACCTCTTGTTACGACTCCCTCCAGATGAACAACATTCGGATGGTCAAACTGTCCCATAATACTGGCCTCGCACAGGAAGTCCCTCCTCTGCTTCTCTGTGTAGCCCACTTTTAATGTTTTGATGGCAACCGACACATCCCGCTTTCCGGGGAGCTTGAGCCGGCCGCTGCACACCTCCCCAAACTCTCCTGTGTGGGATGAGACCATTCATGAGTGAGGTGTGGGTAGGTAAAAAAAATCAAGCACTTCACAATGACAAATTTATTAGTGTATTTTGAGACAAAGCAGCTGTGCAGTGGTGGAATACAAATTGGAGTGCGACATCTTTTTATACTCAGGGGAGTGTAACCAAGACCTATAATAAGACATGCTAGAGATGCATAGATACTGTCATTGACCGCCTCTGTAAAACCCATGTGGCAGCAATTTCTCAGCTGTGGGAATCACTGTGACTGCCTCTTCCAGACGCAGCCCACACATTAATTGCAATGAACTTTTTTCCCTCTTTGCAATTGCACTATCAATATATAATGCATAAAGCTGTGTCAAGGTGTAAATATTTGGCTGTCAGTGTGATATATGAGAGCACGGAGTGACTAAACAGCAATAGCTGAGAGAATCGGGATGGGCTCACCTGCTCCAATAACTCGTTCAATTTTAATGCAGGAGGCGTCCAGCTCCTTGGCAAATTGATGGACAGCCCTGTTTGGGTCCTCGTAGGTTTCAGGGTCAATGTAGGTTTTGGTGCCTGGAAATTTGACTGTAGAAAGGTAAGAGGATTACTGTTATGATTAAATATGCACGCTATGCATCAGCGGGCACTTGACAGGCAAACGATTACTAAGACCAGTGGTTCAGAGGGAATTGCTGAACAGTCAGCGGCTGGTGTCAAAAAGGTTTTCAGCACAGGAAAATTCATCACAAATGGCAAGCAAAGATTTGAGTAACCCGCGCCTGGTGCTTTCATGAGGCTGTCGGTTACCTTTCACCTCTCTGCAGCTGAGACTATCTCACTGAAAAATAACCTGCCTCACTGGCTATGTTGCTTCATGCTCTCATCATGCTTGATGGTTTATTCACATGTGATATCACTGTATGTTCAACCCAGCTGACAGAATAAAATGTGCGCATTGTACATTTCTGCAAACCACGTATATATTGTGCTTTTCATACACATGGCGTATTTCAGATTACATGTATATAAGCTGGGTTTCTCATTAGGACAAGGTGATGGTTGATGGTCTGACACCTATGAGAGCAGACAGCAGCACACTACTGCTCCAGACCAACTAAAGCAGGTATTTTTTACCCGTAGTTCCCAACTTGTTCAGCTGTTTTTGTAGCCACCAAACAGAGTATTTCTTAACAACAGTTTGGGATATGTCCGTTTAAAGCGACCCAACCAGGTAGGTTTTTTTTTTTTTTACAACAGTTCGGGGCAAGTTCAGCCTTTTTTGCAGCTATAAAAGCAGGTCTTTTTTAACTATAGGCATAGACAGATAGACATGTCCAGCTGTATATGTGTCAACTAAACCTTGTATTTTTTAACAACAGTTCAGGGTATGTCCAGCCTTTTTTTATAGTGACAAAAGCCAGTATTTTTTTTTCAACAATACCATATTTGTTGTAACCAAACTGGGTATTTTTTAACAACAGTTTGGGACATTTAAGCCAATTTTTCCAAACCCTAACCAAGTTGTTTTTGTGCCTAAACCCAACCACTCGTTAACCACCATAAAACTGTAAACTGAAATGTAAAGAAACGTAAAGTTTCAACATATCTGTTACATAAATGCACAGAGTGAAACATATTGTCTCTTTGCGGAAATACAATGCTGACATTCATTCTGGTGTTTGGTTTGGTGCAGTTGTTCCCTTAAATTTTCAAAATCCAACAGCAAGGGGACATTTCTCACAGAAGCAAAAAATCATTTGAATTTTACAAGCAGCAAATCCAACCCCTCCAATTAAAAAAAAATGTTGAAATCTTAATTCAACTTTATAGCCTTGAATTATTTCACTTTAAAAACAATCTATTTGGATTTTATGGTGAAAATTTTCCTTAACTTCAAATTCTGCAATTACATGATATTTTTTAGCAGGAATGCAGATAGAAGATTCAAGCGTCCAGTGTTTGCAATCACTCAACTTGTCTCTCTTGGGTCATATGACTGACAGTCTGATTTTACAGAAGTGTGATCAGTTCTGTTCATGCTTGATTGCCTGTCCCAGGGCTAATGTTCAATATTCATTTTGATTTTGGGGGTCTGAATTTAACCATCCAATTTTAATCCTGTTTCTTTTTTTCTTGGTGTGAACATATACCTCCAAAGTGACCAAATGTATGTGAGGAACTTGAATAAAGTTGAATTTTCTTTCTACTATTCATTAACCCTAAAAATATATAGTATTTACTTAAAGCTACTTAATGTTTCTTGACATGGTCTTCTGGAAGTTTAAACCACATACGTTTAGATGAATGATTTTCAAAGTAAAATACTTCAATGCTATTTAGTTGCTCAAATTTATATCGCATTTATTTTTGTCCAGCTTTTTTCTCTTTATGGACACTACTCAGGGCTGAACATAAGTTATTTTTCAGAACCTTCATTTTAATTTACAAATAACAATATGTAATATTCTTTAAAAAATGACCTAAAACCAAACATAACAAAGATAAAGTAGAAAAGGACACTGCTGCAATAATTTTTTCCAGTAACACTGATAAGAGAAGGGTTCATGAATATCCATGGTATGAGAGTAGAAGCAGTTTGTAGAAAATAAGGAGAACAAACAAGGTTAGAGAAAGGCCAGCGATGGGGTAGGGGGTTAACATTTTACACAGTGCTCCAAATTAACAGCAAATTACAGTATTATGCACTATTAAGTGCAGACACCACTCACGGGGGCGATTACACTATGCATTTTAAACTCCACTGATAACAATATAACCTGTCAACTTTAAATTTTAATGAGCTACTACATCCATAATACACTGGATAAACGCTGGACCAAAACAACGGAACAGAACTGCGAGCTCATCCAGCCTGAGAGACACTTATTCTCTGTGGGGTGCAATGTGGCCAATCCAACAGCGTAAATACAACAAAATGCATTGTGCTCCGGCGAGGGGACGCCGGCAGCTGAGATTTCCCTCCACTTGCTCCCATAATTGCTTCGTCCATCAGAGATGTCAGCGGATCTGATAGGAGATGTCTTATCACGACTTCCTCGCCGCTACATGGCAGACAAATTGGGTCTACATGTTGAATTTGCGCTATCTAGCTTCTGTCACCCTGGCAGCCTCTCGTCATTTGATATTGCACGGCGGATCCCTCCATTAAGCTCGACACAAGCCTTGTTTGTGTTTTCTCCTAGTATTCTTCACTAGATGGGACCTGTAAGCTGCTGAGGTGGATCTGTCAGACACTTAGCGGGAGCCAACCTGGGCTCGCCTGCACTGCCTCTGCCGTAGCCGTGCACTGTGCAACACCCCTGACCCTTTGTTTCCAAATCAGCAGTTTGCCTACAGCGTGGATCATTACGGCTCCACTCGGCGAAGCTGTCTGCAGCTGTATCTCCAGGGGCATCATTAGGGGTGGTGTATCAGTGTTAGGGAAAAAAAAGCGCTCTTACTGATAGAAGGCGCCTCGAAGCAGCCCCTTCGACAGAGCAAACTGTGTGTACACCAGAAACTCTGTCGCTCAGTAACACCATCTTTTTTTTAAGGAACACTCCTTCCTCCCGGGTCAACCCCTTCTCCCTCCCTGACAGCTGTCACATTCATGCGTTTGTAGTTTCCTAACTTCTTCATCTCCACAGATTGAGTCTAGCCAATCAGCAGCAGATGTTAGCCTGATTGTTCCCGGCTTTGACTCAAATCAAATGAACTGGGATCAAAGAGTCACGCCTGTGGGTGCTAATGGGTTTTAAGGCACCCTCCCTGCTCAGTATGCAGTGATTGAGATGTCTCCGACTACGTGTCTGTGTCTGTGTGTGTGTGTGTGTGTGTGTGTGTGTGTGTACATTCATATATACTTTATGTGTGCGTTAAGGCTGACGAATGCAGGCACTCACACTGGAAGTAGAGTTCCTCGTCTCCCTCCTGATCAGCTTTGCTGTACCCGCAGTGCCTGCACGGGGGGAGAGGAAGAGAGTGGCAGAATCAACTGATTGTGCAGAGGAAATAAACGCCCTAAATTGCAAGAATTCTAATGCGGCAACTAATGCCGTGCATGACAAATCTCCTAAGAAAGAAACCCAGCTGAGCAGCAGGAGCAGTGAACCTAACAGCGTACAGCCTGGGAAAAGCAGCTTGACTATCTCATCATGTAACATATCAAATAATACATGCAGGCTAAAGGACTGTTCAACATGTCATGTAATATTAATTTGTAATATTAACGTGTTGAAGGTTGCCTCAAGCAGGTGATTTGCTGCACAAAGTTGGTCTTTGAGCAGGAGCTGAAAAAAACCTGAAATGACGTGGGAAGGTGAAATAAGGCACAAATGGTGGACATGCACTTACTGTTGATGATGTTACACATGAGTGTAGCGTCTCCACTGTTCATACTAGAACACTGCCTCTATTTACGGGCCTTAACTGAAGTTTTACAGTAAGCTACTTAGAAATGCTATCAATGAATATTTGCTTGTTAGTATACTATAAATTTTGATGTTTTTTTGCCTGTGTGGCCACAGGTTTTTATCAAATCATGGGCTTCTGTATAACACTGGATAAAGAAAAGTGCCAGTGGTTCAGAGATATAACAATCGTGTTGATGATGGGACATTCTTAGTCATAGTTTTCTCAAAAAATGCTCTCATTGTGTAGGAAAACTAAACCAATTTTCATTGATGTTATCACTAATATGTGTTTAATAAAGTACCAAAATGGGAGTTGTCCATGGTTCCAAAAGTGAAAGTCCCATTCAGTTACCACAGTGTTGGTGCCTGACAGTTGGAGCACTTGGAAGTGCGTTTAACTCCCACCGCTTAATAAATGGTACATTAGATGAGCAACTGCATTAGGAAAAATCTGTTTGCTTGATACAGAGTCAAAGACATAATCCTATGCGCTTTAAAACTTAAGGAGAAAAGTCAGCCATGACTCCCAAAGGTGCATCTAAGCACAGGGTTTATAATTCTATTACAGCTAACTGCAAGTTGAAGCTAATGACTGCCATACAAAACTGATGGAAAAACACCATTTTTCAGAAGCACAGTTGAAATAATTGAAACTGATGGCCATAACATAAAATAATAGTGGCATTAGTTTTACCCAGGTTTCAGTGTTGAGGAACGTTGAGGGTATCATTAAAAAGAAAACTTTGAAATGGGACGGTGTGTTTGGGTTCCGTTTGCATCACTTAGGTGATGGAAACAGGAAGGGTAATGTTAACATGGAGTCAGTGAGTTGGGCTTCTGATGAAACTCCACCTTGAAAAGTCATGGTTTACAGGCTCATTGATGGGCATTGTGCTTTGCATGGTCTGCATGCAAACAGTTTTTACTTTTACCGAAGGAAAAGTCTAAATTTGACAGTTGTAAGGCAAGATCTGAAGTTATAAAGTGCATCTTTTGTTCACTTGATTTCTATTCAGATTTATGGATCATTATCTCCAGCTGACATTGGACATAATGCTGAAACCACTGGGGTGTTTATGCAGAGGCGGGACCAGGTCATGTGATGCAAGTCACAAGTAAGTCTCAAGTTTTTGCACTCAAGTCAAGTCAAGACAAAAAAGTCCTGATTCAAGTCCCAGGTCAAGACATTCAAGTTCCAATTCAACTCCCAAGTCAAGACAGGTAAGTCCCGTGGCAAGTCACAAGACAGGCAAGTCTCGAGTCAAGTCCCAAGTCAAGACAACAAGTCCCGTGGCAAGACAGGCAAGTCCCAAGTCAAGTCCCAAGTCAAGACAGACAATTCCCAACTCAAGTCCTATGTCAAAACAGACAAGTCCTTGGTCAAGACTGGCAAGTTCCATGGCAAGTCCCAAGTCAGGACAGGCAAGTCCCAGTTTAAGTCCCAAGTCAAGACAGGCAAGTCCCAAGGCATGTCCAAAGTCAAGACAGACAAGTCCTCAGTCAAGACAGGCAAGTCCTATGGCAAGTTCCAAGTCAACACAAGCAAGTCCCAAGTAAAGACGGACAAGTCCTAGGTCAAGACAGGCAAGTCCCAGGTCAAGACAGGCAAGTCCCAATTCAAGTCCCAAGTCAAGACAGGCAAGTGAAGTCACCAGTCATTAGTGTTTAAATCCATGTCGATTTGCAAGTCTTTTTTTTGATTTTGTCAAGTCAGATATAAAGTCAAATTTCCTCGAGTTGAACTCGAGTCCACGTCATGTGACTCGAGTCCACACCTCTGTGTGTATGACATCAGCTTGACTAACTCATGACTAGCAGAAGAAGAGGGGGACTTAAAATATGTTGCCAGGGAAAGCTAATTCTGTTAAACCCACCATTAAAAGCAAGTTCTGATGAAATGCTGTTCATGCAGATGAAAACACAGATGAAGTATGTGAGGTAATAGTGATAATGACAATGGGCTGGGAGCTTTGCGATGGTGGTAAAAAAAAAAATTAAAAAAAAATCTGTGCCATACTTCATCCTGCCCTCAGGATCTCTCACACACATAGGAATGCAGAGCCAAAGCTTTCTCGCTCTGGAGTACTTGTCTCATAATGGCTCTGCAAAAAATAGCTTAAAAATTTTGTTGGGGGCTGGGGGGGTGGGGGAGGGGAAAAAAAATGATGCATCACAACCCATTAGCACAGCATGCCACGAGATGATGGGTGCACGTGTGTGTGCGTGTGACGACTCCACAGGCGCGGAGGCCTGTGAGTGACAGAAAGGCTAATTGACAAGCGCAGACTCACAGGAGCGGAGAGTCAATGGGGCCCGCGAGAGCGTACCTTCTCCCGATGATGAAGCCGAACACCATGAACACCAGGATGATGGTCCCCGCCACGGCCACCACCGCTATGATGATGACGGGGTTCTGCTCGCTGGAGACAATCGCGGCTGATGAGACGGACACACACATAAACACACACACGGACAGACATGCAGAAAAGACAGAAATGCTCAGTGTGAACTTCAGCACATCAAAGACTACAATCTGCAGGACATAATTGAGCCCAATGAGAGGCGTGGAGATTGATAACCCCCCTCCTTCCTCTCCTTCCCTCCGAGAGAGTGGAGGAGGGACGCTTCTATTTTTGAGCCGTCCTTATACACACGGCTCTACTGTTTCAGAAAGTGGGCTTAATAGTCCCAGACGGCGACGGCAATGCCCTTCATCTCAAACAAAGACACATTCAGGTTGGATTGTTTCCCATTCAGAGCTCCCACAGTGCTCAGACTGTTTGCGTTGACAAACTGCCGATTGCTCCGAAGAATGGCTTGCCGTAGCATCGTATAAAGTCAACGCGAGTGGTGTGTGAGGGGGAAAATTCATGCATTTTAAATCAAGTGGATCTGCGCTGTATAAATACTTGGAAAGAGAATGATTTTTTTTTTTTTTTTTTTGTGGCCTGTCTGTCTGAGGGGGCTGAAAAATGTGGCGACATTCGATCAGCTGTTCCTCAATCAAGCTTCAATATCTCACCAACTGTCTATTTTGGGAGGAATTAAGAGCATTCAGCTGTCATATTACACACTTGCAGGTTTCCCTCTTGAGGCTGACACAGATGAGGCTAGTGGTCCACTGTGCTGGTCAAGGACACTTTGACTGGACTGCAAACTTCTAACCTTGTCGCAGGACACGCTCTGCATGTGGTATGAGTAATTAATGTGTCCTTTTATGCAGAGATGTTGGATGTTAAGGTGGGTGGGGGCGTTTGGGCAGGCAGGTTGGATGCTGGGGCTTGAAACGAAAGAGAAATGAATGAAACAGCGGCTAATGGAGGTTTTCACAGATTTTAAGAGGGCACACCATGTCCTGACCTCAACACAAAGACATGAGAAACTATTTTCATCTCACTCTGGGAAACAAAGCTAATAAGTGTTTTCCCTGACATGCTGATATTTCTTTAAGGTAGCACGTTATTACCAAACACTTTTATAATGGAACCCTTATTTAAAATTATATCAGAAAAAATGCCACTAACAGATATTTTGGTTTAATTTATTTAGGTTTAGAATTTTAATCTTTGGACAGAAACTTTTGCCTGACCTCACGTGTATCCATGTCAAAGGGGACTTAATGTGCTAATTTATGGTTGATACTTATATTTTGGGTTTCTACTAAAACATATTTACAGGCTTTGATGTTCAAAAAACACTTTATTCTCCTCATACTGTCTGTGCTGGAATATCTGAATTCACCTTCTGTCCAAGATGGTTCATTTTAGTGCCTGTCTCTTTAAGCCCCCCTCCCAAGAAAGAGTATAGCAACACTTTATACCATAAAACCAATCACCAATAAATGCTTCTAAACCCAAAGCTTCACAACTGTTTATGTTCCAGGAGGAATATGATTCAAAATCTAGGAAAAAATGAACAACATCTGGAACCAAGATTACAAGTTTACCTGATGTTAGCATGTAGCTACATGTAGCAATGTACTTACAGTAGAGAAATGACTGTAACAGAGTACAGCAGCACTTTCTATTGTGAAAATTCATGAATAAAGGCTGTTAAACCAAAATATTCACAACCTGACATGTTCCAGAAGGAATATAATCCGAAATCAAGGAGAAATAAACATCGCCAGCCATGATTACATGTTTCCCAGATGCTGGCATGTAGCTACATGTAGCAGTGTACTTACAGCACAGGAATGACTGTAACACAATATAGCGGTACTTTCTGCCCTTAAAAATAACCAATAAAAGCTTCTAAACCAGAACCCTAACAATCAGACATGTTCCAGCAGGAATATAATCTGAAATCAAGGAGAAATTAACAACATCGCCAGCCATGATTACATGTTTCCCTGATGTTAGCATGTGGATACATGTAGCAGTGTACTTATGGAATGACTGCAATATAATGGCACTTTTTATTCTGAAAAATCACCAAAAAAGATTCTAATCCAAAATCCTAACAATCGGACAAGTTCCAGTAGGAATATGTCCCAAACATCGTCAACCAAGTTTATAGGTTCTTCAGATGTTAGCATTTAGCTACATGTAGCAGTGTATATAATGTAAACACTTGCAGTAGCATGCCTGGAGCAGATGACCATATAAAGAAATCTATCACAAGCTCATCACAGTTTGAAAGAGGGAGGGAAAAACAGTGGGAAACAGAGTATTCAGAACGGTCTGAAGCCTCACATTTTTGTCCAGTTAAGTATATCTACCTCGTTATTTGAAAAAATCGGCCACATTCAATACAAACATCCGACATTGTAACATTATAGGAAATATAGAAAAACATTATAGGTCCCCTTTAGCAACATCTGTTAATGCTAGACATTTTAATCCCCTGCACGAACTCTTACAGCAGCATCTCTCACCAAAACTCCCAATAACACACTGTGACACTCAGGGCAAAGCTAATGTAACTGATTAGATTTAAATGAGTTTATCCTCATGACGCTACAGTAGCTTGTCCTTGTGCTTAGTGATTTTTCCCATGACGTGTTGTCAGCATAAAGTCAGAGCAATTTCTGTTTGCTTTGCTTGAAAGCAAATAATTTCCCTGGGCTATTACTACTAGCTGGAAACATTAACAGGTTGTGCATAAATTTAGAGTTGAAAGCCTGTGTTTTAAAATGATGTGCTGATATTACTGCCGTGGTCAAACTCTCCCTCTGTTAGGTGCTTGGCATCGGTGCATTTGGAGACGTACTAATGTTCTCTGTGGGCTTTTCTTTCAAAAGGTGATCAGACAGGTGCAAGGAAAGTGGGAATGAATGCTGCAGAGGTGAAACGTTATCAAATGAAAAGCAGCACAGACTGTTGCAATGATACATCATTCCTCACTTAATGCCAAACCAACCTACAGCTTTTTTCCCACTTTCACTTTAGTACAGATTTTCACTGTATACACACTACACCCACTGAAAATGTATAAACAGACACTCAAATATTCAAATTAGTAAAATGGCAATGAAGTAGAATGAAGTATAAAATGGTAGGACTAAAGGAGGAAAAACAAGGAAAACTATAATATATTATATAAGACAGATATACACACACATACGATATGTGCAGTATGTGCAAAATTAAATTATTATTTTTTTGTTTTTAATGAAAAAATTGTTGACAAAAATCCTGGCCATTTAACATTAACTTTTAAGAAAGCCCCTAACTTCAACATTTTCCCCTCTAGAATCAAGTCTTTAAAGGATAAGGATCAGTATTTTTCAACCTTGACCCTATTTTTCATGTTTTCTGTGTCTACGTGATTAATGGAGTTTTTATCAAGCCGACAGCGGCGGTACAGGCTGCAATGGAAATCTGACACTGACAGTATGTGTTCACTAAAGGTGCTTGTTTTTGGCATCGACAGGTTCAAATTCTTACTGTGTCTGACAACATTATGGAAAGGATCCCTACAGAGATAAACCTTTTTATTATAGAGTAAGATTCTCTTTGTTTAATAGAAAACAGCCACAAAATGGCTATCACCAAACCCACCAGACTCCATTTAAATAAAGAGTGATTTTATGAGTGTAAAACACACTTCATTTAAAGTCGACAGAAACAAAATAAATCACAAAAAAACATCTTTCTTTGTATTTCCACTGTTCCAACAATCACCAACTCTGGTTTGGTTGAAAAAAAAACCTTAATTCACCAAGTTACATGTGAAAAAATGCTGTCTCTATATATGTTAAAATTAGTATTTTTTGAAATGCAGTCTGGCTGGTTTGCTGATTGTGATTTGCGGGCTCTTTATGGTTAAACAAAAAGGATCCTGCTCTTTAACAAAAAGGTAAACCTTTGCAGAGATCCTTTCTATCATGATGTCACACATTTAACAACAATCTGAGCCTGTCAGTGGCAAATACCAGCACTGTTAGTGAACATAAATTGACAGAGCACAATTGCCCCAAGTGGTTATATTGCAGCCTGTTTTGCTGCTGCCGGCTGCAGCGCTCTCGCTCCGTACTGGACCAATTTAAAAACTTAATGTCTCCAGTAGTGACTTATACACAAAAACATGAGAAAATAGAGCCCAGTTTGAAAAATACCTAAGATACCCTTTAAAGTGTCAGGCCTAACACCACAATCCACCACAAATATAGTGAAAGTGGTGAAAAGTCATTGAGGATAATTCATACTGAATATCTAAATATTAAACTTCAAACTACCTACAAATATTACTGCATAAATTGCTTCTTGCATCTGCTCAGGGCTGTTTTCTTTTAATTTCTGGATAATGTATTCATATTAATTTAAAAACATATAATGGCACAAGTAAAGCAGTATTAATTGTAAAAGTGTGTTTTCTTGCATTGGAAGCCTGCTCATAAATCTTACCTGTGGCCTCTTCCTTGGTGGTTATCTCTAGTCTGGGGCCGTAGGTGCCGTATCCTGCCTCTGTGAAGGCCCTGATCTGGAACACGTAGGCCGTGCTGGGCTTCAGGTTGTTCACTGTGGCAGATGTGGACTTGGACCTCACTGTGGAGTAGACCCGGTCCTTCTGATCCTTTACAAAGAACAAATCATGTTTTATTCAAAAATGAAATGGTCACCATTGGGGCGAAATAAAAGAACATCCAACTGCTGTGTGAAAGCCTGATTTATAACTGAGTCCCCTGAAGTGTCGTTATCTTGCTTCGGAAATACTGCAGATATACTTCAGAGGATGTAATTACCTGCACTTGTAAAAGGACAGAACGTGACTTAACAATGGTTCATCCAACTAGATACACAGTGTGGAAAATTTGGATGAAACTATTTAAATTTAATAGTCATTTTACTAATATTCAGAATATATTATAATACTTTATTTACCTCAGCTGCAGAGATAACCAGACCTTCATTTAAAACAGGCTGTCATTACAGACATGCATCTATTTATAGTATCCCCTATTTTTATAAGTACAGTTCTCTCTGCACAGAGCCTCCCTGTTTTCTGATCAGCTCCTGTTTTAGTTTGCTGTTGATGCGCCCTCATCACTTCCCCCATGTTTACCTGTTTTCTTGATACATTCAGTATAATGTACATTCCCATAGCACTAATTCCATCACTACAATGAACATGTCATAGTCGCCTCTGCTGCTCTGGCTTTCTGTCTCCTTCAACATACTGTTTCTATTTACAGTTTAACTCCAGTCGCTTCACCATTATTCTCACTGTGAATTTAACGTGCTGCACAGATGTTTCACAGTAAAAGCCTTGCAGGGTTTGAAAGGCTAAAATCCTGTCCCTCCATTCAACAGATAACACTTGAGTTGAAAGTGTTGCTGATAGTATTCAATATTTCTGTTAAGAAAACAAACTCAATACGAAATACAATTAGTGCTGTGAAATGTGCCCTTTCCTGAAAGTATAACGGAATGGCAGGACAGCAAAACAAAAGACCCATGACAGTATGTTGCTATGGTGCTGTATTGTTTACAAAGAATGAGATAAAATATATTTAATAAAGAATATTTTGCAAACATTCTAGTATTGCATGTAGCTATAAAATGCAGTTCCCTCTTAATATTCTACTGGAAACTTAAATTTAATGTTAAATTCTCTCCAAAATGAACTCCCTCCAAAACTTAAGGTCATTCTTTAATTTTCAACAGAAAGGGTGTTGTTGCAGCAAAATTACTGGCATGGGGTTGTTCAGATCACTCATGTTTTTCCAGCTGTAATTTCCTTTGTGGAGGACAGCAAAAAGATTTGATATTCAAGCTCTGGATAACAATGCTGTCTACTGATACTGTTGCCGGTGTTCTCTGCTGGCCTCGCCTAATTTTATCGTTCGGCTCTCATCCACTAAAATGATCCGATTTGCCATCTATTGTATACTTGACTACGTTGAGACCTCAAAAATAGGGAGGATTTCAAAACCAAAGAGGGGAAGTCAGAGTTTCAGAGACTGTGTTTCCTACATTCTAATGACTTTTAAAGAATCAAAATTATACAATAAGTCCACTGCATTGACATTTTTATGTTAAACATATTTGATTTGGTTTAGTTTTTGGTTCATGAAACTCAATGGCACTCAAGCAGATTACCAGGAGGAGGGAGGGAGTCAGGCTGTGGACTTGTCCAGTGCCAGGAACTCTGTCCTCCCTGGCCCACCTGGAGGGTCATGGTCTCTAAAAGACCCCTCCACAACAAAGGAGGGCAAGCTGGGCCCCCTCTAAAGACCTGAGTAACCCCTCAGATCATCCTGTTGGACTTGTGCAGGCCTAACACAGTGACCACAGAGACGAGGTGGCTGCCAGCAGCTGCACCAGACTCATGCAGGCCCAACAGGTGCCACCCTCCAAACCCCCCATAGGGTTGGGGAAAGAGGAAGAGCAGGAGAAGTGTCAAGAGGCAACAGTACACTAGAGTCATAGGGCTTATACATGCTGTGTGATAAAGAAAAGAAAAAAAAAAGTGTGAAAATTTGTCACAAATCAGGAGAAATAAGGGAAAATTTTGACCTTGGGAGGAAACCGGGAGTGTCCCAGGAAAACCGTCTGCCTGAATCCATGTGAAGGCAGCATAAGCAATAGTACAGCAACATTCAGTTTCCTTTTTAAATACCAGTTTTTATTTGAGAATTAACAGAATTAAAGCTTGAAAATAATGTTTTGTAAACATATTTCCTCTTATGCTTTAAAGTGATCTTTATACCCAGCGTATATTGGAGAACATGATTAGCTTACCATGAGGCAGCCTGCCACATAGACAACATCAACACATATAAAAATATCTTCTTCATCAACAAATCTATTTGGATGCACAGGCTGCACGCATTGTGCACTTTGTTGTTGATCTGTAAATGTTTTGCTCGGCAAAAGCCCAAATGGAATGCCAGGGTCTGTTAGGGGTGTAGTTGTTGTTTCCAATTTTCCACTTTTACAGCTGGGCAGACCACAGCCACAGTACGTGACATAGGAGACTTATTCGTCAGTGTTCTGCACGAGGCTGCGGCCAGCAGGACTGGCATCAGAGCTGTGCTACCCTGCCTTTGATTCACTGGGTTAAATTCGCTCCATTAAACCTTGCTGTAAAAAGCTGATGTGTTCAGACTTGAAACACAGGGAAGCAGCGGTATAATCTATGTGGAAGGGGAACGGAGATAACAGTGACAGATTACTAATTCTGGCAGTGCAGCAGCCGCGGATTGTGTGTGTGCTAACATGTGCGTGGGGGCGGCTGTGAAGGACTACAGCCTGATTAAAATCTTATGAGCATCTCATTCATTATTGCAATTATGAGACAAAGAAGGTACTTGCAGAATCTTGTGAATTCCACTCACAGCAGCATGCACGCAGAATACAAAATGAAGAGTCGGCAAAAGTGAATGTGAAGGGAGAGATGGAGGGAACAGGGTTCCAGAAAGAGACAAGGACACAAACAAACTGACTGTGAAACTCACTTTTTCGTAGTATTTGATTTCATATTCCGTAATGACGCCGTTGGGTTGCTGGGGCTCCTGCCAGGAGAGCTGGATGCTGCGCTGCTGCACCTTCTCCTTGATGACCTCGCTGACCTGGGACGGAGCTGTTTAGACAAGAACATGTCAATAAGCTGAGGGCAAACCAACTCTGCACGCACACGCATAAAGCCAGCCACAAATCAGCCGCACCACTCCTCCAGCAACACTCAGCGGCCCTGGTCTAAATGTTTATACCTCCTGATCGAAATTTCAATTGCACTGCAAACAGCGGAAGATAGCGTAACTGCAGCCGGTGGAGAACTGCAACATGTAGATTATGAATGACAATTCAGCTCAATTCATTCCAACATTTCCAGCGGAACAAGCAGGCACTTACTCTGCCTGTTGCCAGAACTGTTGAGAGATCCTCTTAGAGGCAGAGGGGTGTACCTGTAACCTTGTGACACCAGTCTTATGCACACCAATTATCTCTAGCTCTTTGCATGACTCATTTTAAGTGTCTGGCTGCCTGGATTAACTGCTGCCACATTTAGATTGCTAAACAGCACCCACACATGCACAGTTCTATTTTTAGGTGTCAATACCCAAAGGTAAATGATGGTAACAACCTTGTGAAGTTGGAACTTAAGCCTACATGTGTGTCATGTAATGTCTGAGCATACAGTTCTATCATCTACTGTTATGCTACCAAATGCAACAATTAGCACTGCTACTGCAAAACACGTACTGTACAACTAATGTTACTACTGCTATCACTGATGTAGCACCAACTACTGCTAGTGCTGCTTTAATAACTACTGCTACTGCATCCAAAATTAATATTACATGCAAAGATAAAACAAAGATTGCTATACAGGACCTAATATTAAATATCATTTAATAGTGTCTCAAATTGTGTACTCTACTACACACCAATTTGATGTCACCTTCTGCCTTTTTTTTTAAATTTATTTATTGCCTTTTTACAGATTTCTGTCAAGCCCAGCTTTAGGAAGACAAAATTAAAACTGCATTAATAGGTTTATCTTAGATTAATTGTTTTAATTATAGCAATAAAATTGAACCAAAATGGGAAAGGTGACACCCAATAAAAAAAAAGCTGCTAAAATGCAGAGCTGAGGAGAACTACAGAGTCAGTAATAATTCTGAATTCCAAGTGACCATTTTTTTTTATTACATCATCGCTGCATCCATCGTTATTGCAAAAATCAATGAGTGTGGCTTTGAAGTCCTACTTTCTGCAACTGGTCTAGTTTAAAGAGTGGCAAAATCTGCACTGGGAGGAGGTGGGGTCAAACAAACACAGGACTTTCACCCACGAGACAGTTTTTCATACTACAGCAAACATCAATGTTAAGTTATTTCAACGTAATGTTAAGTAAGTTAAGTTTGTACGTCATGTACTTAGATCACATCTTGTCACATGTTTATGACACGCTGTGTTACGTCTAAACCCGTTACAAACATACTTACAGTATTTTGGACCAAACATAAACAAACATTTTTCCAAACCTAATCAAGTAGTTTTGTAGCCTAAACCCTAACAGGTTCACAAAGTTAACCCCCTGTCACAATGTCTTTCACCCTAGAAACGGCTGTGCGTCTCAAACAGATGCTAGAAGGAACCTTGTGCGTCAGTATCAGATGGTGAGGGGGGTGTAACAAAGCATCAGTATTTGATGACCTGGGAATAAGAATGGGTTGATACTAGGGATACAGGAATAGTACATAAATCTGGATGATCACCAATCCAGTATTACTGATGCAAATTGAAAACATTGATATGTATCGACATTTTTAAGATACAGCATATTTTTAAATTCCTATCATATGTCTGTGTCATATCCTCGAAATGCACCTCACTCAAACAGTGCTAGCAGCTGCACACCAGGCAGACAATGATACACAGCCATGAAAGAGATGAGGATATTTACTGATATCATCTAATATCGACCACATGCCCTGAATTTAATCAAATCAAAATCATGTTGTGGGAGACCTTGTGATATGATCAAATATTGTATCAATGTCCAAAGAATCTATATAATATCATATTGTGATGAAACCTGTGATATACACCTCTATTCAAGACACACTCCTCCCGAGAAAGTTTGTGAAACAAGTCGACTTTTATGAGAAACAAGGTTAAAATATTCCTCTTGCGCTGGCGTACGTCTCCCTTCTCCCTGCCTTCAGAAGTTTTGTTTTGTTGCAGTCTGTCACTGCTGCTACTGGTTCTGCAGCTGTGCCTTCTGTTTCTGGTTCAACTTCCATTACCTTTACATCATCATCATCACTGCCTTGATTATAATCACCGTCATGTTTACAGCACTTTTCCTAAAGACCCCAGTGAGAAAAAACGAAGGAAAGCTTTTTGGGTTACTAAACCTCACCCCAAGGAGATGATGCTTTCAAAAAAAATCTGCTTATCTGCACTCTAAACAGCCCACAGATCCTTTCTGTAAACATTCTGTGAAATCTTGATGACTCATGCTGCTCTTGGGGCAAAACATATTAATTAACACGTCTTAGCACGTTTGAAAAGGCGTCCTGGGGACGACGTGAACTCCAAAGTAAAAGCCACTTGTCAGGAGCTGTACTTTGATTTCTGTTTCCTGGGTCTTTCATGGATCAGAGGAGTGCTTTAAAATGAAAGGAAAGCTTTTGAAAGATGAATTTACACCAAAAAATTCTTAAATGACAGTATGATGATATGTATTTAGTTGATCGTCTCATTTTGAGCAATTTACAAATGATACAGCAGCACAAGCTTATATTTCTCTACTGACATTTGGTTGTGTTCGTGTTGTTCGTATGCTACAAAATCTGCTAATTGTACAGTCTCAACCATCACTCAATGACACAGGTATTCTATATTTTTTGGTATTGAACAGCAACCAACAAGAGACAAAAATAGTCTTTCCCTGGACGAGCAGAAGCTGCTGAAGTGCTGAAGTGTCAGTGGCATGCTCAGTGACCCAGTGGGAGCAGACCTCTGTAGCCTTAATGCAGCCTGACCCCAGCTTGTTTTAAGATGACCTGCCACTAATGACTCCGGCTGGATTAAAACCTCATTAGGCCTCATCGGCATTCCTGACAGTAACGTTCACGACAGCGGACACCCGAGACCTTGTCAAAAACCTGCTGTTGTGACATGTCCCCTCATAATCCACCCAAAACACAGGAACAATGTATCCTTTCTCAGAGCAGTCGGCCGGTCAAAGGGACGATTGAGTTTTCTCTCTCGAGTCACAACAAGCAGTTAGTGCAGCTTAACTTCATCCAATTTGGCTGCTTTCTCTGCCCCCATCCAGGCGGCGTCCTTGAAATATGGACCGTTCTCCTCCCGGTTACTAAATCTGGTTCGGGTTTATGGGCACTAAATGATGCTTCTTGTCTGTGTTTACTGCTTTAATCTGACATTTGCTTTCATCCCCTGCAGATGTCTTTTTCTACCCTGCATGCGCATAGAGAAACACTACTTCAGGATATATATGTACACTGTTCTGAACTCTTGGACTTGAACACTGTTGAACAAATGGATACATTTACTTTCATATCAGCTCAATGGTCTGTCTCTACGCTTATGACCTGAACTGGGAGAGTGTTTTTATCTTTTGTCATCCTAAATGTGAGACTAAATTCATTGCAACATTGTTTTGATTGAAAGCAAGTCAGAATTTTTGTGTTAACCTGATGGCTAGAGATTATACAACATGCAGCATCAAAGACAAATTTCCTTCAGGACCATAAATCCAGTTTTTTGTTGTCTGTGTGACATGCTCTGGTACTCTTTTAAAATCAATCAACAAGAAAAGGACCATTGTTTTTAGGAAAGGAGTACAAAAACAAACACTGATCCAAACCCAACTTTTAACTTTAATCTGTTATTGCTTACTACCATAGACACAACTAAAGCCCCTTTCCCACTGTACAAAAAAAATCCACTAAATCCCACTAAAATCTGTCTTTTGTCTTTAGTGGGACAGGACAGCATTTGTTCCTGGGACAAATGACTCTGCAGCAGTTACTGGTATTTATCGGCTCCAGTTCTGATCGGCAGCAGTGGAAACATGACACCTGGGCAGACACACTAATTTACACCCCTTTCTGGCATGACCATTGGTAACTTTGACAACACTTTATCTCAACTGTCTCTATCCAGTAACAGATATAAAAAAGTAACCACTGTGACATTTTCACTGGCCTCTATGCTGCTTTCTACTCTTTACCAACCCTTTTATCCAGTGCCTTAGTGACATTGATTGGGAAACTCCAACTTATTTCTGGCAGTTGTTCCAGCATTTTAAAAACCTGCATAATTATGCACACTAATACTGGTAGAAAAGGGCTAATACTGTAGATTTGTTCATGTTGCCAAGACATACACTCATTTTTGGTCTTGCCTGCTTCCTTTAGCCTTTAACTATTCTAAACAAGTTTGAAATGTCATACATGCCTTAATCTAAAACACAAGACTACTTATCACGGACCCAAATTATATTACAGCAATACAGTACTATAAAGTTAAAGGCACACTCCAGCAATTTAGTACTGAGGCTCCAGGAAGATGGGGACTCACAAGAGACTGTTAAAAACAAGAAATTGATACAGTAAAAGCAGAGAAAAGACTATTTTAGTCCATATTACAAGGCAAGTTTCAAAAACATGTGTTGGTGCTACATTGTGTTTCATTAGTGATAAATGAAGTTTCTTATGGAACCAAAGTAGCATTATTTGAATTTACTTAACTACACGGTGTGGAAATTGTTGACATAATCGGGTTAAGTAAATCCACTTAAAAAGAACACCATTATAACAATGAAACCAAGCTTAGTAAAACAAAATCTAGTTGTTGTCACACTCACCTAAGTCAGGTTATGTTGCAGCTACAAAATATAATTTACTAAATACAGTTGACTAGTGGAGGTCCAACTGTTACGTTACATTTACATAAATGAGTTAAGTCAGTATAATCAAATGTCTTTATGTTAACCAACACAGTAATGTAACTACATTTTGTTGAATTAATGTTGGTCATTTTAGTAATGTGGACACTGAACATTTAATTAAATCCAAGTTGACCAGATACTGTTGGAATTGT